GTCCCGCGGGCAGCTCGCAGCTGGGGGCCGGGCCAGAGTGGTTAGGGGTAACGGCGGAGGAGGAGCTCACGCCCCCGGAGAGTCAGCCGATCCCCTCGCTTACCGTTTTTGAGAGCGAACACGACCTTTTCATAGACCACACAGTGGTACTGGGGTAGCTCTTGACTTGCTGTATTCTCCGAGTGCAAAACCCTGTAAAAGCTACGGCTGTCTACAGATTTAAAACATTAATATTTGTCCAACATATCCGTAAAAGTGGATGTGAAACAGTGATTTAGAAGCAAAATCCAATGACAATCATGCAGCCATGAGGTAGGAAGTGATGATGTGACGTCACCAAAAGGGGCACCGGCAGCTTCGGTCGGAGGAACGGCGGTCTGGCTGGTCCCCAGGCCAAACACACTCAGCCTTGCAGAGTTCAGGCCTCACTCACAAATAGGGACAAACGTAAAAATTCTCGAGGGTTCTTTGCTCGAAACGAGGTTTGCTCCAGCTTGTCCTGAGCCACTGGTCAGACTCCACGATGCTGCTGGCTCCGGTGAGGTCGCACACTCCGGGGGCAGGGGTGCAGCCGGCGTCCTGAGCGGCCGCGGGGCGGGGCGCGGGGCGCTGCTGGCCGAGTCCGCATTGGCCTTGAACGTCCCGCCCGTCAGAGCCTGCAGCCTGCGGGCGGGGCGCCCGTGGCGTCCACAGGGCGGCGCGTCCCCGCCGTCCTAGGCGGGTTCTGCAGCCTCAGCGGAAGCAGCTGTCGCCTGGGGCTTGCGGGGCCGAGGGGAGGAGGAGGGAGGGTGTTCGGTGCGGCAGTGAGGGCGCGAGGGCACCGCCCCACCTCCAACCCGGCGGGGCCCACGGGCCGCTCGCGGGCCCCGCTCTTGCTCTGATAAACGCTCTTCCTACGAACTGAACGGGTTTTTAAGTCCCGCCATCAAGGGACATGGGGACGGCCTTGCGGGGCGGGCGGGGAGAGCCGGCTCTCCCGCGGACCCCGCTCCGTGACGCGAGGGGCGGGCTTCGGGCCGGAGCTGCGGCCTCTGTGAAACGGGAAGGGGAAGCCGGGTGGGTGGCTCTTAGCACAAAGGACCTGGGGTTGGGCACCCTGGACGGCCGAGCAGCCCCTCCGCCAGCGTCAGACTCACGGTCACTCAGCAACGTCAGGCCAGCTGCTGAAACCCCTCACGTCCGGTGCCCCCCGCCCCCCACCGGAGGTGGGCATGGCCGCGCAGGTAAGAACTGATGACCCCGAGGATGATTTCCTAAAAATATCCTTAGAGATTTAATTCAAAAACATTTTTAAAACAATGTTTTAATTTTTTGCCAGGATTGAATGAAGCCCAAACCACTTCCTTGAGCAACACACTAGATAAAAGTGCCTTTTTTCTGGGCCAGAGGGGCCCGCGAGAAGGCCATGTCAGCACCAAGCGACCCCTGCTGCTCGGGAGCCTGAACCAATCGGGCAGTGACCGCGGATGAACGCACACCCCACCCTCTAAGTCCTCCTGCAACCCGGCTTGGGTTTTGAGTGTTTCCAGGGTTTCCATAAGTGTAAACGAAAACCAACCACTTCAGAGGCTTTAAAGGCTTTTGGTCCTAAGGCAGTGGTGCCGTCCAGCACCGCTTACAACTTGAGATGGTGGGGACCGAACACATTCTCCAGTGTGAGACCCATGACATCCTGTGCCATTCCCAGCGCTGTCACCAACGGGTAATGTGTCAGAAACAGAGTACGGGAAACTTGGCCTACATAGCCGACTCACATCTCCTGAGAGCATCCCCTCGGCAGGGCAGGGCAGCGGGCACTCAGGGAAGGCTGGTGACATGAAGGGGGCGCTGACTCAGACGCTTTAATAAGGAACCTTTCATAGTCTTGATTCCTTTTCCTGAAGTAAAAATAAGAACCTTTCTTAAATGCAAATGGGCCAAAATAAAATCCAGGACGTAATACATGGGCAGGATGCTCAAGTTTCAGAGTTGGCAGTGGAAGAAAAACAAAGCTTTCTCCCGGGAAGGATAAGCAGCTTGAAAGGAGGCATTCCTCAGCCCCCGAAGCCTCACCCTATTTTAAATTTTTTTTTTTTTTTAATGTTTTTTTTATTTATTTCTAGGAGAGAGAGAGAGAGAGACAGCGTGAGCAGGGGAGGGTCAGAGAGAGAGGGAGTCACAGACTGAAACAGGCTCCAGGCTCCGAGCTGGCAGTCAGCACAGAGCCCGACGCGGGGCTCGAACCCACGAACCGCGAGATCATGACCTAAGCGAAAGTCGGACGCCTAACCGACTAAGCCACCCAGGCGCCCCAGCCTCACCCTATTTTAATACTAAGGTTCTGAATGGTTTGAAAAATGTTTATTAAGTACCTACTTAGATCTTTTCAGTATCTAGGAAATACTCCTATGGCTATGTTAGTAAAGCTTTCAGTGAGTAAGACTCATAAAATTTTTACCTTTACCATTTTTTTCCCCATACTTTAAAAGGAAAGTCTTGTTTTGCATGTTGGAGAAACTAGGTATTTTTGACATTTCTGGCATCTATGTTCTGTTGAAATTTAAGGGACTAAGCAGTATGAATACAAAGTTAGGATTCCGGAATAATAACCCTTTGGATTTCAAAATGCAGCAAACAATACAAATCACACTTTTTCTTGTTCTGTAGTCTCCAGCCGGATCTCTCCCAAGCATGTTAGGAAATTAGGAGAAGTCACCAGTGAGGTTCCAGAACCATCCATCTGGATGTTTGCAAATGATGCGGAAGGAAAGCAGTGGAGGAAATTAACAAAGGAGATCTACCTGTGCAGGGCGGCTAAAGTTTATCCAAAATCACATCACAAAGCCACAGGACCCCACACCCTGCCCGCATGGGGTAGCACCTAAAATGAGCTGCATGCACCTGAGGCAAAAAGGCCGAGGGTCTGGGATGGGTGGGGTGTGTGGAGCAGCTCCTCTTTTGCTTCTCCGACTTGCCCACAGCTGAAGTTAGGGCACGAGTTACCTGAAGTGCACGGTGAACCCTACCGACGTCACGCACGACAATTACCTACAAATTCATGGTGAGCCTAATGCAAGAGCTGAAACTACAAAAACTCCTCGAAGAAAACCTACATGTAGGGGCGCCTGGGGGGGCTCAGTTGGTTAAGCGTCTGACTTCAGCTCAGGTCATGATGTCATGGTTCATGGGTTCAAGCCCCACGTCGGGCTCTGTGCTGACAGCTAGCTCAGGGCCTGGAGCCTGTTTTGGATTCTGTGTGTCTCTCTCTCTCTGATCCTCCCCGGCTCATGCTGTCTCTCTCTCTCTCTCTCTCTCAAAAATAAATAAAAACATAAAAAAAAGAAAAAGAAAACCTACATGTAAATCTTCATGACCTTGCCCCAGTAATGATTTCTTAGACAGGAGGGTATCAAGAGCACATGCAATAAAGAACAAGCTAATGAGCCAGATTTCAAAATTAAAAACTTCTGTGTTTCAAAAGACACCATTAAGAAAGACAAGACAGACTGGGAGGAAAAAACTACTATAAGTCATATCCCTGGTAAAGGACTTATATCCAAAATATATAAAAACCCCTCATGATTCAATAAGAAGACAAATAACCTCCATTAAAAAAATGGGCAAACAACTTGAACATCTCACCAAAGAAGATACACATGTGGTTAGCACGCATGAGAAAAAACATCCACCATCATCAGCAAGAGCTGATCAAACCCACAGTGAGCCAGCGTTTCACACAGAGTGGCCAACATCCAAAAAACAACAAATTCCGGGGAGGTGTCAGAGCCAGAACCCTCACACTTCAATGGTGGGAATGTAGGCTCTGTGGCCACTATGGGAACAGTTTGGCACGTTCTTAAAATACTGAACGTGGATTTACCACGTGGCCCAGAAGTCCCTCTGCCGAGAGGGATGAAAACGTCTGTCCACACAAAGACTTGCATGTGACCATTCAGAGCAGCATCACCCCTGTAATAAGCAAAAATCGGGGCTCATCGGTGGAAGAAACCAAGCGTGCGGCACCTCCACACGCCGGAGCGCTCAGCAGTGCGAAGGAATAAAGTCCCAGGGCGTGCCACGACCCAGATAACGTCAAAAATACCATGCTCAGTGAAAGAGGCTGGACGCAGAAGACCACATACCATCAAATTCTGAGTGACATGCCCAGAGAGGGTGGATCTATGAAGACAGAGGTGGCCTAGGGGTTGCCCACGGCAAGGGAACTGGGATCTAAAGGGACACAAGGCTTCTTTTTGGAGGGATGTTCTAAGGCAGACTGTGAAGACAGCTTACGAATGGGCAGCGAATTACTGGGAGTCACTGAATGGTATTTTCCAAGATTATGTGAATTCTACCTCCAACAGCGGTTTGAAAGAACTGAAATGTTTTTAAAAAATCTAAGTGTTTGTATAATCCTTCCGTGACGCCATCGTTCTCTGGACATTAATGTCCTGAAGAGGACGACCGCCCAGGAGGGAAGGTGAACACAACAACGTGCCCGAGAACTGACGTGCCCAGAGCCAGCTGCTGTGGGTCAGCGGTGATCTGTGAGCTTCTAGAAAGATTTCAGGAAGCTTTAAGATCGATCTTTTCAAAATTTCATAGCAAAAAGAAACTAAAGAACAGCATCGATGACATATATTCTGGGCTATTTTAGAAAACTCATTGCTGAAGGGTTTACATCCTGGAGAAGATGCTTTCTTACCAAGAGCGGATTCGGCAGTACTTACCACTGACCCAGCACCTCGATGTCCCGTGTACACTTCCACCGGCCCCATGCTGCCTGGGTGATGTAGAACTGAAAGGGGCCCTCCTGCATGCACAGTGATGTTTCCTTTCTCACCTTTCATGAACAGCGAGGAGACCCCAGACCCTGAAGGACTCCTCATCCAGGGCCATCTCTGGAGCATCTGATCGCACCCCTTCTGAACAGGAACACACAAGTGAGAGCAACAGACCTCTGTCTCAGATGATGTCTTGGCTCTGAAGCTGGTAACCATTAAAAGACAGGATAACTGAACTTTCCTAAAATAAACCATTTATTGAAAAAAGAACCTTTTTCTGAAATTTCATTAATCAGCCTTTGCGTAACAAGCCTGCGGCTTGCCAACAACAAAAAGGTAAGGTTTCACAGTCAGTGCACTCGACAAACAAGAGTTTAACAACAGGCCCAGGACACCTGATAACACTACAACTGCTTTTGAACCCGGGAAGGTCAAAAATACTACACTGATGTCACGGTTCTCAGCCACACGAGAAACAGGTGACAGAGGCGATGGTCCGTGTACAGTAGTAATGGCACTTAACATGCAGCTTCTTTACCTCGCGGACACCGTCACTCGGAGGGGCCCCGTGCCACATCAAACAAACAGGAGCAGCAGAAGAAGTGACGCATGTCACCTGTGCAGTCTTCAGTCTTGGAAGGTTAAAAAGGCTACTGCTTCTCAGCACAGTCTTTATGTAAATATTACATACAGTAGTGATTGAGAGGACTCTCCGAGCACACACACTGCCAGGCCACGGACCGGCGAGCTTCATTCTTCATCTGTGCAAACCTGTGAGGGAGGCAGGAGAGAGCTGAACCTGATTCAGTCTGTGCACAACTTAGGGTAAGCCACTGCCGCTGCCTCGACTTTCCCAGCACTGAGCCAGCACAGGGGGCGGCTGACCGGTACGGGGGGTATGGTCAGTGCTAAGTCACTGCTCTGTCAGCTGACCACGGAAAGCATTTTGAAGAATGTATCTGTAGGATACCAAGTCATTACAAACAGTCTGTGTACTTTATAACAAAGAAATAAGTTTCTTTTTAATTACAAACCCCTAATATCTAGATAGCAAATCCAGCTCTTTGTGTCTTAATTTCACCCACCCATGAACGTGGTCACCCCCTTTTCTACACCATCCTTTCCCCAGTCAGGCTCCCCTGCAGGGCCTTTTCCATGTTGTTTTCCCCAGAGCTTCATTATCACCCCACTTCACCCTGAAATACTCCCCCAGCAACATTCTGCCTCCCGGGTCTGCGTCCCGGCCCCATCCTCTTCTGGGTGCGGGCCTCCAACCCCTACATGCCCATCTGATATCCCTTAGCAGCCGTTCCAAACACGCCTCAACCATAATGTACCGCAGAGAACCCCCGTCCCCTGCTCAGCCAGCTGCCTCTACTCCTCTTGGCCAGTGGGGTCTCTAACTGGTGAGCCAAGCCGGGGCCTAGGAGCAGTCCTAGACCCTCCCCTTACTTGCCTTTCTCAGCTCATCAGCTACTTGGTGATGGCCATTTTAACCCCTAAATATCGCAGATAACTCACCCCTGAACCCCCATGCCCAGCCCATTAGCTGTAGCAGCAACTTTCTCACAATTCTGCTTCCAGAAAGATCATTCTAAATGATTCTTTAATATTATGCTTAGAATAAAACTAAAATTCCTTCATGTGGCTCCTGATTACTTTTCCAGCCTTACCTTTTACCAGTTTCCACATCCCGTGATCCATCTATACTCAACGCCTCGACTGTCTAACCCTCTTCACCCTGCCAAACCCATCCCTCCCTGCTGGATCTCTCCAAACCCTCCCACACAGCTCAGGCATCTCATTCCAGAGCAAGCGATGCCTGAGATTACCTAGCTGGACCAAACTGCGCTTTGCAGTGACCCTACGACATGGCACGCATACCGTTATCACAGCTCTGAACATACTGCTGGTCAGTCATTACTAACCCCGTCTCTGCTCTCCTGGTAGAACTCAGTCATTACTAACTCCATCTCTACCTCCTAGAACTCAGTCATTACTGACCCTGTCCTCAAGCAGACTATGCACTCTCAAGAGTAGAAACGAGGTCTTTCAGCCAATTCTGATAAAATTCCATTTAACAGCCCCAAGCATACTGCAAACACACCCACATGGATCGAGTAGAGGACTTCAGTGAACATTCATCCCCCAAAATAACACACAAAATCCTCTGGCATAATTAATACATTTAGCTCCTTTCCATTCCAGACATAGATATTTTATATCTGAGTCCCCAAATCTCCTTCAGTACCAGATACAAACACAACTGAACCATTTGGACATGAAGGATACCGCCCGGCGATCTGCCCGACCTTGACGAAGGCGTGGTCGAGGAGCTGGCTAGCCGTCCATCTCATCCGGGGCTCACTTTCAAGGCAGTGAGAAAGGAAGTCCTTTCCTTCGGGGCTCAATCTTTCCGGGATCGGTGGCTTGTGCCCCATGCCCACCTTGTACATGATCTGGAAGTTGTGTTCATACTCATGCCAAGGCCTCTGAAAGAGAGAGAGGAGAAGCAGGCTTTAGTACCACACGGGCCGTAAAACATGACACTTTACAGGCCTTTCAGGCATCTCAGTGTGTATACAGGTCAGAAGCCGGCACACTTTTACTTACAGAGATTGCAACAGTAACTATTAGGCTTGTGGACCATGTGACCTCTACCACAACGCCTCCATTCTCCCACTGTGTGGCGTCACAGCAGCCACGGGACATGTGTACGTGAATGGGAGTGACTGAAAGCCAGTGAAACCTTATTTACAAAACGAGGTGGTCAGCACAGTCTGCCGACCACACGTGGATGCCGCTAGTATAGAATTATCCAGGAACCACATCATACAATTAAAAAATGCGATACATAAAATGATGTAAATATGGAAACATATAAAGCTCAACAGTTACCTTACAGGGGTATTACTACACTACCTTACCGAACAGTGAACATCAAATTCTATTAGTGCAAAGCTCTGGTTATTTTATAGATCTTAAAGCATAACGATAAAATGCTTCATTCAAAGACCACAAGGTGTAATACAATTTCCTACTAATAACACCTGAGAGGTTTCTAACATCTTTTGCTTTATAAAAATGATGCTACTACACACACACACACACACACACACACACAAATAGTACCTTTATACATTTGCATAGCCGTTGATTAGTAGGATTTTCATCAAAAGATAAATTTTTTAAATAAACTTTCAATTTTTTTTTTTATGTTTATCTTTGAGAGACAGTGTGTGTGAGGCAGGGAGGTGCAGAGAGAGGAGGATACAGGATTCAAAGAGGGCTCACCTCTGCACTGTCAGCACGGAGCCTGATGCGGGGCTCGAACTCACAAACTATGAAATCATGACCTGAGCCGAAGTCAGATGCTTAGCCGACCAAGCCACCCAGGCACCCCCAAAAGATAAATTTTCAGACTCTGCAGATACCCAGTGCAGAACAGCCTCACTGCCCTAAACATCCTGTGCTCCGTCCAGTCATCCTTCCCTCCCCTTCCCAGAGTCCTTGGCGACACCAGATCCTTTTGCTGCCTCTACGGTTTTGCATCCCCCAGACTGTCACGTGGCCGGAATCACATTATACGTATGTGACATTTTCAGATTAACTTCTTTCATGTGGCCACATGCTCTTAACAGTTCTGCCACGTCATCTTCTGACAGCCCATGTCTTTTCGTTGCTGCATAATATTCCGGTTACCAGCTTGCTTGTCCACTCGCTTACTGACCTTGGTTGGTGCTCCCAAGTCTGGCAAGTTATGCATAAAGTTGCCCTCGCAGGATGGTTCTTGAGTGGACCTAAGTTTCTGCCTTCTGTTTCTTTCTGCAGCTCCTCACTTCTCTGTGTTTTACCTCCAGCTTCATACTTTTTTATTCTCTTGTAAGAGTTCTCAAAGTTATAAATTTTATAAATATTTGGTTCCAAGTTTGCCACTTGTCTTCACATTACTGTATCTTTTGACAGGTCACATTTTTAATCGCTAGTCATGGTCTCTAGTCAGTAGGAGATGTGTCGGTGGGACTGATAATACATAGTTAAAGCACACGCACAGCTCTGTCAGCGACCGGAGCCCTTGGGGTGTCCCCTGGGTGTGGGCCCCTCTTACCTTGCCAGTCACCATCTCGATGACGACGCACCCCAGACTCCAGATGTCAGCGGCACGCCCGTGGCCTTCTCCTTTTGCGCGAGTGATGACTTCCGGAGCCATGTATGCTTTAGAAGTCACAGACAACAGTGGTAGGAGTGGGTTACAGATGCAGCAGCACAAAGTCAGCAACCCAACCAGGGAACTGATATTGTATAATATTTCCCACAAATGAAGCTACTAATTTGTGGGGGGCGGGCAGGGAGGCCATTCTCGGAGTTATGTTAACAGGAAATATCACAAGTAATAAGACCTCTCAAATCAGTTTTCTGAATGGACATTTTAGACGCTGAATTATTGCCAAAAGGACAATTTTTGAATGGCAAATCTTCAGATAAACTGTATTCGGAATAAAAATGTGAAATCTGACCTGCAAAAGAGGATGTCAAACTTTATGACACTAAATGATAACCCTTTGTGCACGTCCCCCTAACTAAATGGGACACAAGAGTGGGCTGTGGCGGGGAGCCTGCCAGCTGTGGGCGTGGCTGTGCTGGTAGCACGTCCCCCCACTCCTAGCTGTGCCTACCCACGCCTCTTCCTTTACAAGGGCCGAGAATACTCCGAACGGCCCGTCTGCCATAGAGACATGAAACTGGCACAGGTGCTGGACAATAAAGAGCTTAAGCTTGAAGAAAAAACAAACCAGCCCGTACTGTTGGGTTTAATATACGGCCGTGTCTTGACTAGAATCATTTTAACAAACCCCATGTGAATGGTAGTCTTTCCGGGAAGACAAAGGGGGCTGTCTTCCTGCCTCTCACTCTGGGGGTGAAGGCACGGAGAAGGCCGCCTCCCTGCTCCTGGCCCGTGCTGACAACAGAGGTGCGGGAGCCCAGGTAGCAGGCGCGCCACGACGCTCGGGCCCGTCCCTACCTGCGGTCCCCAGTGTGCTGTTCACTTCACCCGGCATGGTCTGTGCGTTGTTTTTGAGCTTTACCGAGCATCCGAAATCCCCCAGCTTGATGAGTCCGGATGAGGTGAGGAAGATGTTGGCACCTAAGCAGAACGAGACGGGCATGGAGGGTGTTATGCCTGCGCAGTGACCAGAACTCCAGCAAGCTGACTCACAGGCTGCGTTCCGTGAGGCTTTATAAAACACTACTCGGGGCACCTGGGTGGCTTAGTTGGTTAAGCGTCCTACTTTCGCTTAGGTCATGATCTCACGGTTCGTGGGTTCGAGCCCCGCGTCGGGCTCTGTGCTGACTGCCAGCTCAGAGTCTGGAGCCTATTTCAGAATCTGTATCTCCCTCTCTCTCTGACCCTCCCCTGCTCACGCTATCTCTCTCGTTCTCCTAGAAATAAATAAAAATATTTAAAAAAAAAAAAAAAAAAAAAACACTACTTACAAAGATAATCACAGAAGGACTTTTAAGCGTCGTTCACAAAAGTTAATACAAAGCAATTTTAGTACCAGTACAGACAGCTTCTATCAACAGGCTCTGAAGTGGGACACACAAACTCTGAAAACCCATGGGGACGCTTAGAAAGGAGCTGTCATGATCTCATGGTTCGTGGGTTCGAGCCCCACATCAGGCTCTCTGCTGTCAGCATGGAGCCCACTTTGGATCTTCTGTCTCCCTCTCTCTCTGCCCCTCCTCTGCTTGCACTCTCTCAAAAATAAATAAAATTTAAAAAAGAAAAAAAGAAGAACGGAGCTGTATGTGAGGTGCAGATGCTCACGCTGGCTGTCCCCACAAACAGGGCCGGTCACACGCGGCAGCCCCTATGGCGGGCAGCAGCAGGATGGGGGGGGCCCGGGACACACCGTGGCTCTGAGGGACCCTGACTGAGGCTGCCCCAGGCCGATGTCACACTCTCCCCGCCCACTCTGAACCCACGAGCGGCGTGCATGCCTCACACACCCCGCCTGGTACCTGGGCTTACCGTCAGGGTGCCAGGCAGTGTGAAGCTCCGACATGTGGTTCGCTGCCCCAACCAAGACCATAGCTCTGCCACCGTGTGTCCTACGGCCCCTTCCTCAAAAAGCATGACGGAGCCACTCACGTCAGCATGGCAGCCACACAACGGGCTGACATCTAATAGGCTCCTCAGCGCCCCGAGCGCGCCCACAGTGGACACAACAACGCTAGCTTCATGACTCTGGAGCTAGCCCACGTGGGCACGTTAGCCACACGGAATTATAAAAAATACCATAAGGACACAGGTGGAAGGATTGATTCAAGCTCTGTGGCCATGGCCGATGACAGGAAGGTGCCACTGTGTGACAGGGGTCAGAGATGGCACAAGTGGAAACAGGCATTGCTGTGGCCTGACAAAGAGCCACGGAAGCAAATGCTCAGAAGGACCCCAGAAGCCGGGCCACAGTGTGGGCAGACAGGCAGGTGGGGAGGCAGCGAGACAGAGGGCGCCGGGGCTGAGGGCGGCCACTGCAGACAGACGCCCATACCACGGACGGTGCTGCTGAACCCCAGCCTGCCCGGCTCCAGGGCCTGGCCCGAGCCAGCCAATCCCAGAGCGAACACGGGTAGGCTGGCCTCAGGCTGTGTGACCGAGGGGGTCCTCCGCCCTAGGGCCCACAGAGACAGATAAGTGTCACTTCAGTTACCCCTAGGACTCCCAAATACAAAGGTCAGGGGCAGAGGCGAGGGGCAGCTCCGAGACCAGCACCATTCCCCTCGTGCCGAAGACGAAAGCACTTCAAATCAATCCGCGACCGAGTCAGTGGCGAGCAGAGCTCTACATTGGAGGAGGCCGGTGTCCATGCACCTTCTCCCCCCAGACATGGCTTCCACTTCAGAGCCACCGTCACGTCACATGTTCACGATGCTCACGTGGAATACCTAAGAGTCCTGACACGGAAAAGAAGGATGCTCCGACAGTGAACGTCTAGCACACACACAAGGTTGCCTCAATCAGCCTGTAAAAAGGGCAAATTTCATTTTTTTTAAAGTTTATTTATTTTGAAAGAGAAAGAGAGAGAGCACAAGTAGGGAAAGGGCAGAGAGACAGAGGGAAAAGGGAGAGAGGACAAGAGAGAGATTCTCAAACAGGCTCCGTGTGGTCAGTGCAGAGCCTGATGTGGGGCTAGAACCCATGAACCCTGAGGTCACGACCTGAGCCACAGTCAAGAGTCAGACGTTTAACTGACTGAGCCCCCAGGTGCCCCACAAATATGATTCTTAGAAAATAGTTCACTGAAAACAGCGTGGCCCAAAAAGAGCAGACTTATCGGCTCACAGGTGGGGACACGGGTTCTCCATGGTCTCTGAGTACTGGGTTCCCTGTGGACGCATATTCCCAGTAAAGGTCTGTCTTTCTAGAGAAATGACGTGTGGGGGTGGGAACAAGTGTCCTGGCAGCACCTACGTTTGGGGCACCAGAGGATTCTGGTCCTGGCAGCCAGGTCAGTGTGTTTATTTTGAGAGAGAGCGAGCGAGCGAGCGCAAATGCGTGTGAGTGCGTGTGCAAGCGCACACACGTGGAGGAGGGGCAGAGAGAGAGATCCCAAGCAGGCTCCATGCTGAACCCACGAACCGGGAGATTGTGCCCTGAGCTGAAACCAAGCGTCAGAACCTGAGCCGACGGAACCACCCCGGCGCCCCAGGGGGTTACCTTTAATGTCACGGTGAACTATGCCATGCTCGTGGAGGACATTGATCGCAACGGTGATCTGCTTCGAATACAGCCTGATGACGTGCTCCTGCAGTCCCAGCCTTGACACTTCTTCTAATGTCCCCTCGTCACAGTATTCCATGAAGATGTACATTTCTTCCTGTGGGTGGAATAAAATGCAGCCGTGTGTTCACACGTATACGAAGCAAAGAATCTGGAAAACGTCACAGGTCACGCCCCAAAGGAATCTCCTTTCTAACGGTAGGCTACACTTGTCCCTGACACTGAGCCTGCCTCGTAGCAGCCATTTCTCGCTCCTGCACACAGGTGTCTCTGCCTGCCTCCTCTGTCTGGAATTATACAGCTGGTGGGGACAAGAGCGTCTTCTCCAAATCGCACGTGACAAGTGTCCAGAATCCTCTGAAATGAAGTCTGCTATATAATCTCAGACAGGGACCAAGAGGGCCGTCCCTACGATGTATTATTAAGTACTGAAACACATCCTTTTCAGACACGAATCCGTTTGTGAAACATTAAAAATCACTCTTCAACTTCCCCCGGAAGTTCGGACTCCACCAAGACGCTCCAGGTTATCCTCTTTCCCTCAAAGTGTTTACTTCTAAACACACGGGGGGAAATGAACCTGAGGCTGCAGCGTTCTCATTTCACAGTGGGCCCTCGCGCACGTGTGAAAGGAAAGTCAGCGTTACTTGACGGCGCACGCAGCAGCGGTCAGTGAAAACTGGGGGGAAAGAAACGCGCTGTGTAAGGGGCACGTTAGAAGAATCTTGACTGGCAGGATGGGTTTCAGTGCTTTATAATGTCGGGTTAACGACTACAGTCTACAACTTACATTTCAGGAAGGACTCCTCTAGTTTCAGAGAGAAGGCAGAAATGCTGTAACCCATGGAGATTTCCTGATAATTAGGCAAAGTTACTGTGCTCTGAAATGAGAAGACCTGTGATGTAGGACCCCACCTGTGCCCCTACTGAGTCCTCACACACAACCGTGTGACCCAAGTTGGCTTACTCTGTGCAGCTCCACACCAAAATACCGAACCAGATTGGGGTGTTTGATGCCCTCAAAGATTTTCAACTCGTCTGCAGTTTCCTTGATAGTTTTATGGTCATTAGGTTGAAACCGAATCTGTGAAGAGAAAACTGCTGATTAGCGTCAGTCCTCCCACCAACCAGGAACAAGACACCTGCAAACGCGAGGGCCGTGAGGCTGTCTCCCAGACCCACGGGACTCTGGTCAGTGTGAGTGTGACTTGACTTTGAGTCTTTCTTTCCTGGGTCGAGCCCCATGAATGAAACACGCCAGCTTTAGGATACTGGTGAGCTAGCCGCTAATGGGACCACATTCCTGAGTGCAGAGCACACTCACAAAACCATCAGTCAGTCGTAGGCGATCATGAGTGTATAGGTTCTGGGAAGACAGAGACATGAGACGGGGTTCTGTCGTTGAAAAGTTTACGACCAAGGGAGAACGAGGCTGAGGAAGCAGGGTGGGCAAGAGCCAGGCAGGGAGGACCAGAAATGCCACAGGCGCTCCGGGAGGGAGGCCGGGTGCTGTGAGGCGGGTGCTGTGCCCACACTAACGGCCCCGGCAGCTCCCGCCTCCTCCTCTGCGGGCTCCTCTGCCCTGCTGAGTCCCGAAGCATCTCGTCATGAGCGACAACAGTATCTGGTTCCCTGACAGGTCTCCTCACGTTTTCCTGGCTCTCCCCCATCCTACCTGCAGCGGTTGAAATGCTGCTCATTTCTGAACCTGATCACAGAGGCGGTCTTCTCCCCCTGCTCCCCGTTAAGATGCTACTGCTATCACTGTGCTCTGGGCCCACATCTAAGTCTGCCTGCCTCCCGGTGCGGCACCCAGCGTACCTGCGAGGGGGCAGAGCGGTCAGGTACTGGTCTTAGCCCCCTCCCTGGAGTCAGACTGCTCTGCTGTCTGTGTGTCTGGTCAGATCACTCAACCTGAAGGCCCCCAGGTGGGCTGTGGGGGATAAGAGCCTCATCAACAAGCCTCTGTCATGCTGAGAGGCGTCACACAGAAGGAAGGGCCTCCCCGAAGGCCAGACCACTCACCTCCTTCATAGCCATCAACTCGCCGGTGTCAACACTGATACAGGTGTAGACCTTTCCATACTGCCCCTCCCCTGTGAATAGAACAAACACACTGCTCTCAGTCACCAAAGCTAGGTCATCTTAAGTCACGCAGATGTATAATAATCTTGTGAATTCTGGATCCACAGTCAGACAGCTACAATTACGCTTACCTACAGTCTACTACTGCACGACCCAAAATGTTTCAGAACGTTCCCCAATAACTGAAGGCAATCTCTTCGCTGGGCTTTACCTGTAAATACCTATACAGAGTAGAGGAGACTTCGGCAAAGCCCAGAAGAGGTCAGAAGGTGCACACTTCTGAGCCCTTATGACCCTCCAGGAGGTCAGGGTCCGGGGGTCAGGGTGGGGCACAGGAGTAGCCAGTTGTAAGACTAAGCACATGGGAAGTCTAACTGTGCCCATCACTGCACATCAGGTGTGCAGGAGTGGGTGCTGTACCAACGTACTTTTGGGGACATTAAACTGAGGGCACACATGGCTAAGACTGGTAACAGTAATTAATAACATTTCTAAAGCACTTGATTGTTTTCAGTGTTTTTTTGCCATTATGAATAGTTCCACGGAAACTTCAGGGTCCCCGAGGCTCACAGAGTCCTATATTACAGCTGTGTTGGCCTCGTCAGACCTAAATGCTCCACAGAGTGATGCATTTAAAAGAGGGAAGGATCTAGAACATCATCAGGCTCCTTCTGTCACACAATATCCCATTAGTTATTTCACCTGGAAATTAATTATTAGGCAATGTTTTAGGGAAGACTGTCTCTATTTGCATCCAGTCTCTCTCCAGTAATGTTCTTGAGGGAACACGCTCAGAAGAGTATCAGCTGGAGCAAATGGGTAACTGGCAACGCAAAGCCAATCAATTTACTGAACCACTTAAACATCTAAAATCCCCTCTCCTAATGCTCTTAGGACAAGTTTTACAGATATATTACATATACACAAAAACCAGAACTCTCTGCAAAAGATCTGCTATGTCTATAAGAGAAAACGTCTTTAACCTAAAGGCGTGCAATTACTGCCATTTCTAACAGAGGCGACCTTTGTGTCATGTTCCTCAATTTCCTTACCAATTTTGTTTCCTCTTTGCCACTTGAAGGTCACCTTCCTCAAGCCTACGTGCATAACATTATCATAAGATTTAGGGGTATCACAAACTTGACCAATGATATTCTTTCTCCTCATTTCTCGATACCTCTTTTCTTCGAACAATCGGACCGACTTCTGGATAGCTTCTATGGGTCCTTGTTTGGAAGCAGTGTCTGCAGAGAGAATCACAATCGCAAGAGTCCCAGTCACTAGCAGGGAGTCAATGTCTGGCAAATAACCAGAGAAACAGAGCACCGCCGCACGGCAAGGGGCACCGCGCAGGACCACCGCCTAACAGCAAGGGACACCATGCACAAGCACTGCCGCACAGCCAGGGGCACTCCGCGCGAGCACCGCCGCACGGCAAGGCTTATCATCTTGTGCTCAGATACATGGCAGGTGCATCCAACAGCTCCCGGGCACCCCACCCCCCCGCACAGGCACACATGTAAACTACAGGCTGCCCAGGCACAGCAGACACCTTCCTGCCCACAGGCTGCTGCTCAGTAACCCCCCACCTGCCTCCAGTCTCTCCTGTCTCCAATCCACTCTCATTGGCCAGAACTATCTAACACGTATCGTCTGACCATGTTCTTTTTCTACTCAAATTTCTTTCATGGTTCTCAACAACCTGTTTACCAAAAATCTAAGCCCTTCCTCTGGTATTCGAGGCCCTGCAGAATTTCGACCCAATTTATCTTTCCCAGTTCACTTTACAAGTATTCTCCTACCACAGGCCCCAGACAAGCCAAACCAAACAGACTCCTGGAACACGCCAAGCCCTTCCCCACTGCCAAGCCTATATTTCCACTTTCCTGTGTGCCTGAAAAGCCTACTTCCCACCACAGTGCCTAGGGAGTAATCTCACCCCTCACAGCTCGGTTGAAGCCCCCTACCTTTTCTAGGAAGCATCTCTGATGAGAAGGGAATTAAGTTGTCCCTTCTCTGAAAAAAGTCCAGAGCAAAGGCTCTGGAACCAGCATGCCTGGGATAAAGCCCTGGCCTCGCTGTTTTCCACGTCTGACAACGGGCAAGTTAATTGACTTCTTTATATATCCAATTCCTCATCTGTGAAATGGGAGTAAAAGATCTCAAGCAGAGAGCTATCTTGAGTATTTAATGAAATCGTACGTATAAAGCGCTAAGCCTTGTGCCTGGGACACAGCCAGACTGAGTAAGAGTTAGCTACTGTTACTCCTCTTCCTTACTGTTTCATCCGGCTCTACATGTCTAGTTCTCCAACTTATTTGATCACGACTGACAGTGAGAAGTAACTTTTACAAACACAGGTATCGAAACAACAGTTTCATAGAACAGTGAAACAGACTCCAGCCTGTTTTTTTTAATGGACTTTACAACCCACCTAACCGATGGGTCACAGCCCATAATGTGAAGGGCACTGCTTCATACATGTCCCCCTGACAGCACCTCATACCACATCCTAGCTAAGAGCCTGAACTTTCTGGCCAGCAAAGAGATCATTGAGAACCATGATGGCTGTAAGGTTAATGCGAGAAGAGAAATTCCTAAAGGTCCATCATGTTCTAATTACGGTTTCTTACAACAACCATTTCCTTAAAACATGAATCGCTGTTTCCTTTGCCTCAGTGTATGACACATCAAGTCTACTCGGCTCTGAACAAGACTTCACAGCCAAGAGGCCATGGACTTCACGGTCATACACTTCTGGGAAAGGCTTTTTTTTTTCTTTTTTTACAGTAAAAATTTCTCAAGGTTTCTCCATCTTTGTTAATGTGACCTGTAACTCTCCCAAGAGTTCCCAAGTTCTCCTGACCACAAAATATTTGTTTTGAAAATCACCCCAAAGACCTGGTATGCGTGGGAGCCACGGGTCATGTGAGAACTACTGGAGACCCTCTTACCCTCTTGTCTCTTCTTTAGACACTGGGCCTCTGGGTATGTTTTTATTCTGTACTCTGCCCCCTGGCTTAATGCAGACCTGTTTTTCCTTTAAAAGCCAGCTCAAGCCTCACTCCTTCATGAAGCCCCCCCAACTATTCTCGGCTTTAGTGGGCAACATACTTCCAAGGGGTGCTGAGAGGCAAGAGCACTGGACTCAGACAGAAGTGGTGCATGGACGGTGGCCCAGTTATCACCTTGGCCAAACATCTGGATTCTCAGAAACTTTATCATTTAGCCTAAGATATGAACGGTTATTCATTTCACAAATATTAATTATATCCCTACCATGTACAAAGAATTCTGCCAAGGGCCTACCCAACGTGACATATAGAATTAACAATCACACTTGTTTAAAGAATACAAAAATGCATAGAACATGTTCCGGATCCAAAGGCGCTTATAATTTATTATAAAAAATAGGAAACATAAGACAAACATAGCACACACAAAAAAGTGATGTCACAGGTCTAAAAGAAATCACTACATGTTAACACAAAAGGCCTAATAATTCAAAACCTAAAGCATATTTTAGCTGAAACTGTTCACTTTATGCTTAAACATTTTAAGTGCAACATTCTCTCTCTTACCCTTAGTCTGGCTGATAAGTGTCCGAAGTTCCCAACTTCTTCGAGCTGACCCACTGCAATCACCTTTTGGATATGCTGGTTCTGCAGGAAGTATGTTTTTCACACAAATTAAGATTTATGAAACAGATACAGCTGATGTAATTGAGAGCAAGATGCAATTGGTGAGTGGCAATGATCAGTTACCATCAACCTGTCCTTTCTGGTAGGTAACCTCTAGTTGACATGAGTATGAGAAGCTGTCTCTACAATCAATTCCACAAAAGTCTACCAAGCTAAGGAGCTGTCAATGGTGTTATGTGACTTTACGTAAACTTTCCGTAAGTCACAGAAAACGATACTGAGCAGACATTAGATTGTTTAGTCCCGTCCCCCAAGAGGCCCTGCGTGCTAATAAAACCTTAGCACACGAATAACACACACAGGGTCGAGTTTGGTTTTTTAAGTGAATTAAGAGTGCTGGGCAATTAAAGTATCAGAGATAATGATTTTTAAAAAGGCAACAAAAGCAGACGTAGAAAGTGCAACTACAACTAAAAAGAGGCATCTGTGTGTAAAAGGCAGCAGCCAAGCATCAAATATTCTAGAGCTCTGCCGCCGCCTCCTTAATCTTCACTTCTTCCTACGGCATAAACAGCGGAAACCGGTGCACTGAGGCGGAGGATTCGGCTGGTCGGGCTCACGGCTGAGGCCTCACACTCACCATCGCGCTCCTCGGTGGGGCTCGAGTGGCGGCTCAAGGACCGAAACTGTAATTCTGCAGCGATGGAAGCCAGCCGGTCATTCTCAGGGACGCTGGAACCCCTGTTTTCGGTATTTTTAAAAATTCAGCTGTCATTTCGGTGGAAATCCAAATGAAAGCTCTGTGAGATTCTTCCAGAGTGGTGATTCTCAACTTGGGGTAATTTCGCCCACTGGGGACCCTGGCATCTAGCAAGCAGAGGACAATGCAAAGGACAGCCCCAGAGAAAGAATCACGCACCCTGAAAAAGGGCGCTGCCACTGAGAAACCCTTCTCTAGGGCTGGGTGGGCAGTCAGATTTTTATCCGCCACTGCTGACACACGAGAACCTGTCTGCGTAAATACTTTTTTAAGTTAAAAACAGCAAAACTAAAGCAAAAACAGTATTTAACGAAGTCCCATTGACTTGTAGGGAAAGCTCCACCATTTCGGCCCAAGATGGATAAAAATCATTAGTCAAACTGGCTAACATTTAAAATTATGATCATACTATATATTTATAGGCTTAATTCTGTTTAAAATGTAAAATTATTACATGATTCAAAAGACTTTGAAGCTAACAAGATGGAAGGGAGCACCTAGCGACTCCGTAAGCAGCAGCCAAGCAAAAGTGCACGACAGCAAGAACTTAGCATGAAAAGAACAAGGTTAATTTGCTGCTTTTCCAGAATAAAGTTAAGTGTGTTTAGAAATCCAGAACGAACCCAAAAAGAGTAAAGCCCAGAATTAAATAAGGGCAGTGTTAACACTGTAATTCAAATAATACACACTAAGTATGGCATTAGTGTGTTAACAAGTTTAGTATTTTGTACGTGGACGATAGTGTGAAGTATGGTAGCATTTATGCTCTTTTTCATGATATGCGGAATGGGTTGAAGGCAACGAGGTCTACTGAGCAGATGTTCACAAATGATGCCCTAGGCAACGCTTTTTTATTTCCCTAAAATCTCAAATCCAGTGTGACCCTTCTAACATCACTGATAGGGAAGTAACGAAACACACAACTCCTAAACCAAGGACAGGTCCCTCAACACCCCCATTTTCCTGATTGCTCAGACACGAAATCTGCCAATTCCACATCGTCGGAGATTTTTGCTAGGGTAAATGGTAAAAAATATCCTTAAATGAAGTAGTGTGCCCGTGAACGTTTAACTACCGTGGAGTCCTACAATTTCAGTGGCGGAACAGCCCGCTTGCCACATTCCTGAAAAATTAACAATCAGTCTCAAATCCGGTAAGAGCCAGCTCCAATGAGAATACCGCACACAAGTTCTATAAACAATGGTAAGATAATTGAAGCCCGGCCTGTTCCCTAAGTCAAACCCAACCAAATCAAATAATTTACTGGATGCCTTGGCGCAAGGGGACATCTCACGTGGCCAGTAGGTGTCTGAGACGGGGGAGGCGGCTGCCCACCAAGAGACTGGGGCAGTGCCATGACCCCACAGTCCCGGCCTCGTGTAGCTTCCCCGCAGCACAATCGCAAACCCAGGGCGGTACAACACTGCGGCTGAGCACATGATGGGGCCCACCACCCAAGTCCTCCGTCAGCTGAAATAAGCACGCGCAGGGCCGGGACGCAGGCAGCCCTCGCTGCCCTCGACGCGCCGTCACGGGTAGCCACCAGAGTCATGGGGGCCTCGTCCTCTGGACACACTGGCCATCGAGACAGCACACTGTTATGGTGGCGAAATCTCTGCGTGTCAAGACTCATCAGAAAAACAGAATAATTAGGAGATGCTGCTCGTACCGAGCTGAGACCAACCTCTGCAAAGCCTAAGACTAAATGCACAAGAAGGCCAACCACAGGTACTTGGTTTTTTCAGACTAAACTCTGCTCAGTGTACCATTCCTCCAACTCACAAACGCCTTCGGCCATAGTTCATGACCCTCCAGAATGGGGCGCTCCTCCCCCGTCTCCGGTTCTGCAAGAATGCTGTGAGGACCTGGACACAGCAGGTGTGGGAGCCTCCACCAGCATCTGGGGGAGAGTTCTGGAGTCTGCACTGGGGGGCAGGTCACTGCCCTTAACCCTGTGTGACACTCCAATAAAAAACACTGCTTCAAGAACACCGTGTGGAAACGTCTGCCCTGAAACGCTCTACACACATGAAGACGGTGAAGGGGAGTCCACTTACTGTTAACTGTTAATGGTTTTAGTGGACAGCGTTAAGCTGTAACATATGTGGCATTTTTTAGGTTATAGATGTTTATCAGTGCAGGTGAGGAGCATCTGTTATTTCAATGAAGGAGAACAATGGAAATGTAGAAACCTTAGACTGTTACGAAATAAGTCTAAATACATTTCAGTGTATTTTCAGTTCTAACGCTGTATGTCATTTTTCTGCCAATGACATACTTGAATCTTTTACGAGCACGGAGTTTCTGTGCAGTTTTGTCTTTTTTGATCAGATTACCCCCAACCCCTGGAGTCCAACTCTATCACCACCTGTATCAGAAAACAAGAATAGGGATGGTGTGTCCCCTCTGCCAGATGGAGGGGGTAGAATTAAGAGTGTCCGAATGTCCCTTCTCCACTAAGTGTAGGAGAACTTGCTGAACTACTGTCAAAATGACTAGAACGGGTACAGAGGTTTCATGCAGCAAACCTCCAGTTTTCTGAAGCTTGCCAAGTGTCTGATAGCCTCTCTAGTAATGACACTTTCTCCGTATAAGATACAAACCCCATGAACTCATTTTCTCACTTTTATAAACTACTTCTTATCAACAACTACACAGACGAGGAGAGTTGGTCAGGAAAGTGACCCTCCTCAGAAGCAAACCCCCACCTGATAGTATTAACTAGATGCCGTCTCTGAACCACCCTGGGGCGGGACCCCTCAGGAAAGGTACAACTTGCCAAAGTTCTCCTGTTCCCTTCGGTGGGAACCAGGTTCTCTCGTCTGATACTCTCTGTAACTTGTTACTGGTCATTTTGGTTAATATTAGCTCCAAAGAAATATTAAATCAGGTGGACTGTCTACTCGTGCCGCTGAGTGCGAGAGCCTTTGGGGTGGGGACACCTTGTGAGCGGATCCCAAGCTGAGGTCACTGCGGACGTGCGCAGAAGGGGGCCCGGGGACGTGGCGCCGGTGCAGGGTGACTACCTGGTGTCATGGGCACTGCTGATGGGTTTGGGCGGCGCAGCGTCGCTGCCGGAGGGCCCGGGCCGGCTGGCGGCAGCCACAGTGGCGGCGGCGGCAGGGCCGCCGTGGCTCCGTGCGTCTGAAGGCACGCTCCGAGTGCTGGGACGAGAAGAGAAGCTTCAGGAACACAGGTGAGCAAAAGAAATGGACTCTCGAATGGTTTCAGAAATACAATAGGGTGAGGAAGGGAAAAATATTTAAAACTATAAAATGCAAATTTTTCTTTGAGATTCAGGTCTAAGTATGAAAAAGAAAAAACGTTATTTTGAAAAATAATTGTGGTCTTTTCCTAGCAAATATTGTCAAATAAAATTAACTTTTAAAAAGCGATCCTATGGGGGCGCCTGGGTGGCTTAGTCGGTTAAGCGTCCGACTTTCGTTCAGGTCATGATCTCGCGGTTTGTGGGTTTGAGCCCCACGTCGGGCTCTGTGCTGACTGCCAGCTCAGAGCCTGGAGCCTGTTTCAGAGTCTGTGACTCCCTCTCTCTCTGACCCTCCCCTGCTCACGCTGTCTCTCTCTCTCTCTCTCCTAGAAATAAATAAAAAACATTAAAAAAAAATTAAAAAGTGATCCTACAGCGGAGAGAAAATGCTCACTCCCTCAAGATGCAGAAATGCCACCACATTTGAGGGAAAGACTTGGTACGAGAGTTCCAGAACTCACTTTAGTACTTAAGTTGCTCTGAGGTTACATAACATGCATAAAAATCAAGACTGAAAAGATCACTCGAATGGTTTCTCCACTTTGACAGTTAGGATTGTTTTTCATATGTTTACTATGTCACATTTGTCTTCCTAAGCTTATTTTCAAAGAAGAGAAAAAGAATTATTCCAAAGCTGGTCAGCATTTAGCAGCTTGAAGTTTTAAATAAGCGGAGACACTAAGTTCTCTTGAAAGGAACAAGTCTGTCACAAACTTGCACGTCTTTTTCTACTGCAGCTGAGGCACTGTGGTGTATCTTCAAGATGACACAACCAAGAGCTTTTTAAAAAGTAGGAAGAACACAGAAAGGATACTTAGTTACCAGAGCAAGCACCCAGGAGCCGTGAGAGCTGAGCATGCGCATCAGAGGAGGAGCCATAAAGCAGATGACTAGCTAAGCACCAAATACCTGAATCCCTCTGGGGTCGGGATAATCAGATGTGGGTTAGGAGGGTCACTGTGGCATCGCGGCACCTTCACGGGACGGGGACTGTTCCGATGGATGGCTGCCGGTGACAACAGAGACATACGCAAAGTGTTAAAGTGGGACGACAGGAGATGCCGAACCAGGCAACTCAGCAGAAACGGGACAGGACTTCATGTTGCTGGTGACCAAAATAAATCCGTTATGTAAGTAAGAAAATCGTATCGCACATTTACTAATATTGTGGAAAACATCCCTGTTTAAAAGTTAATAAAAGTTATATCACACAAACTTTTAGCCATCGAAAAGAATCCTTAACATCCTGGAGAAAAAGCACACAATGGACGCAGAGCAAACAACTTGACCACGTTACAGAGACGTGGCAGCTCTAGTGAAAAAGAGCTCACTCTGCTAGCTTCGTTTTTAGAAAAGAGTCTGCCCACGCTGATGCTGCAACAGGTTCTGGGCCAGGGAGGGTCCCTGTCATCTTCCTGAGTAGGCGGGCTTTTGTTTAATCCCTTTAAATCTAGAACAAGGACGACCAGGCACAGTTTAAACGGGTTACTCTTTTGTTCAGAACACATTTTCTTCTCTTCCTTGTTCAGATATTCTGGTAAATTTGCAATAAAAGTTTAAAGGGACCTTACCTCATGATTACAAAAACGCTGATAATTCTCCTTTCCCCTTAACTAGACAGAACTAGTGTTGCATGCATGTCATATTTTGTCTGTTTCGACCTGACATGTAGTACCCTTACTTTTGGCTCCGTTTTAAGTCTCAAGTTTTTCAATGTCATATTTTCTCTTTATGTGAATAATTTTATTCCACATGTCTTATTTACCCTATGATATGCTTTATCCTAAATGGAAACACTTCCTTCTTCATGGTTCTGGTTTCTTTTCAATAACATTATACAGGAAAGACAAATCTCCAAATGGAGAGATCTGAAGGGAAAACTTACACAATAAAAATTAAGCAACTGTTAAGAAAAAAAATCAAGCAATTTGTGTCTCTGGCTCATTATCTCAACAATTACAATAGTAAATAAAAGAACTCCAATAGTAACAAAGGTAAAAAGAAACAAAAAACAGTAAAAATGCTTTGGAGAGGATGGTGATGTCTTTAATTCAGCAAATGTACTGGGAACTTCTGAGTCAAAACTTGCTACAAACTTTCCCCATAAAGTATAAAAGACAGACGCCCTGCTAAAACACATGTACCCAAGTTTCACGTTCCTCATACATGAAACAGAACATTGAAGAGGATGTATAACCAACTGCTGAGAAACTGTGGGATTTCATTGAAAAGAAAATCCAAACGGCCAATAAACAGAAAACAGATGCTCTAATTTCCTTGGCAGTATTTACTAAAGAGATGCCTTTCAGGGCAAAAACAAACAAAACAAATGTCCCCAAAGAAATGGTGCAAAAAATGGTAATACCCCCATCAAGGACAACCGCGGCCACTGAAGAGAATGAACTGCGTCCATCCCCGTGGACAGGGAGGAATTTCTACAAGCGTCAGGTAAGAAGACCAAGAGATCACTGTAACTTGTATCAGTGTGTGGTTACAGGGGCACGAAGGCACACGAGCACACGGCAGCGAGCGGAGGCCACTCACCAGTGAGCAGTGGCTACGAGTGCAGAGTATGGGGAGAGAAGACAGTGAACGACAGAACGGCGGCCACTGTGCTCTCCATTCCCTAACCGCCCCTGTAAGGGAAGGCACGGCACGAGACGCAGACCGCTGCCGTGCACCGAACGCTACAGTTTACAGACTGTCATGACCTCACCGGAGCCTCATTAGCATCTGATTTTAAGCACTTGCAGAGGAACCTCTGTGATGTGGGATGAGCGGCCCCAGGTCAGCAGAGGTCCGGCAATCTGATGCAGGGCTCCCAGCAAGCCACAGGGCCAAGGAGACAAAGGGCACCTCAGGCCCACAGGCAGCACTGCTGACCCACTGTCCCACCGGCAATTTGCAGAGAGGCACGTGAGGAACCAGTGATCAGCGCCCGTTGGCCGTGATTACCTAGCAACTGTGGGAGGACTTCTTTTACTTCTTTTGTAATATTCTTCTATTTTGAAATTCTTTCTGTGTGGACATCCACTACGTTTCTCTACACACTCTTCCTACGCTGTAACTCTGTCACCACAGAAATGACTCCTCACGTAGGACAAATTTTAAAGAAGTGATTTTTACTGAATTACTGATGATGTATCCTTAGTGAAATATATTAGGAGATCAGATCATCAAAGTTTTTAGGATGATATGATTAATCAAAAATTTAATATAGAATGCTACAAAATTGTAACATTATATAAAATGTTCACAGAGTGTTGCAAATGGTGACTTTCATAACAGCCTTGGGAGAAAAACAGGTATAAAACTGAGTGAACTGTTTTTTAAGTATTTATTTTTTCGAGAGAGAAAGCAAGAGAGCATAAGCAGGGAAGGGGCAGAGAGAGGGAGAGAGAAGATCCCACGTAGGCTCTGTGCTGTCAGAGCAGAGCCTGCTGCCGAGCTTGAACTCACAAACCGTGAGATCGTTATTTGTACCAAAAAAAAGAGTCGATGTTTAACCAACTGAGCCACCCAGGCGCTCCCTGAGTGAATTTTAAAGATCAAGAAACCAAGCATTAAAACCTGGTCTACTAAATTTTCTGTAGCCAGCAAGTACCCTTTAAGATACAGTTCCTCCTGCTCAATAAATTTACCATTTATGAATTATTTTGTATAATGTTTTAAAATTAAGTTTTCATTTTTAGATGCTTACTGCATATAAACACAGTTTTGCCTTTAGTTACTATCTCAAGAATGGGGTAAGGCACATACTTTTCCTGATACATATTTTGTTTTAAAGTTTGAACATATTCCATAAAACTGTATATTAACTGTGACTGAAAACTCTAATTAAAGTGTATCATAGCATAACTCTTGCGTTTTTTGTTTTCTTTTCTCTTTTTAAGTAAAATCAAATAAGAATTGACTAGGGTAGTGGAAATCAGGTGCCGTCTCAGCTGTAAGAAGGGGGACGGAACAACTACACTCAGCACCTCCAGCAGGAAAGGCTCTTGCTCATTAATGGACAACTACCTCTCCAAGTGCTTCCTTCCCAGAAGAAGAGATTTTAAGGGAGAGAACAGAATAGGTGCTGGCATGCAAAAATAGTTAACAAACTAAAATGTGCAGCAGACTTCCCGCAGGCAGTGCATATGCCCTGTGCTGGCATTTTATCTTCCTGCCGGATCTGGGAGGACTGTGGAGTTCTCCACACGCACACCTCATTCCTGAAACTTTCACTGTCGCTTTCCGGAATACTGTTAGAGAACCTGTCCATACCGGGTAAACGGCTGCAATCACAAGAGGATGCGCTTGCCCAGACCAGGAGGTTCCAGGGAAAATGTCCTAACTGCCATCTTACCAAGGTACAGACCTGTAACAGGACTGTGTGGCTTTCCGATCACATGGCCAATACATTCATTCATCAAGGCTTGAAGACTCTAGAAAGCAAGGTAAACAAGAAAGGAGAAGGGAATGAATATTCTCTCAATCAGTAAGCAGCACAAATTAAGCTTTTAGTATATTTAAAAGAAACATGCTACCCTAAGTGAAGATTTTCAAAATTTGTTTAAAAGAAAATAGGTATAAACATAAACACAAACTGCACCCAATTTATAATAATGATAATATATACAACTCCATTTTTATAAATAAAAACAAACTCACATTCAACTCCCCATAATGCAATGATGTGCACAAGCACATCTTGGCTATTTGAGGCTCAAACACATGTTGAATGCACATGTTGAACATCGCCTTTTGGATCTGATGGAATGTACTGGAATAACAGTGATAGTAATTTAACATTCGGCAGTATGCCCTCAAATGGCGCATGCTCGTGTGAACCAGCTAGTCCTCGTCCCTCATTAAACTGCTAAAAAGCAGCAACTAGTAAGTCAGCACTTCATAAAATCCGAAACTGACAAAGATGTCAGAAATGCCAGCCTTCTCAGCTAACCACGGACTCAGCCAGTTGAACGACGTTGTTATAAAAAGAACAGAACACGGAATTTCTCACTATGCTGTTAACAGTGCTTTTACATGGGCATTATGAAAACAATATTTAAGAATAGCTACAAAAAATACAATCAGGAACACTGATCAACTCATTTCTTTAATGGAAAAAAAAAAAAACCCAAAACTCTAGAATATTCCATACCAAGAAGTCATCTTCTGGCAAAGCTGAAATAAAGGCAGGTTCAATGGCTTGTAGAAAGTCAAAACCTTGGGTTGCCCACCTGTTACATGAAAAAGTTCAGTAATCACAAAACCAAGAAAACACTGCAGCAGTTTCATCCTATACAATACTGAAAAGTAATCTGACTGGAAAATTATGGTCCAAGAAAAAACACACCTTTTGGGGATGAGTAAATTTATAGCACAGTTTTGTGAGAAAAGGACAAACAACTTCTTCGTAAAAGAACTAGTTACCAATTTGTTTCCATCTACATTAATAATAGGCCTAAATTTCACTCATGAGGGAGGGAAAAAAATAGCAATCAGGAAGACCTATCCAAGGAGAAAGTGAACTCCCTTAAAGTTAACTCATTATGGACCAAATTTTGTTGTTAATTTTTATAAGCACTATGGGGTTTGCTGTATTAATAGTGTCATTTAAAAACAAAATAAAGCAAAACCCTGATCACACAGATTCCAAATTGCTCCCTTTCGTGTCAGCTGCTCAGAAATTGCACATAAAATATACAAATGAAATACTCCCAATCCTAAATCCCTTTCATTCCTGCACTTTCCAGGTCCACAGGCTGTTTCAGCACACACTCACACGCACTTTCTCACTGGCTTCCCCCCCCCGCCCCCCACACGCGCGCACATGCACATGGGCGCTTTCTCTCACCCCACCCCCCACCAGAGAGGACTGCAGTACTGAGTTACCGGCAGCTCCAGGCAACATCTACGCGGTCATTACCTGGGTCTTGTACCTCGACCGCTCTCGCATTTAGTCAGGACATAGTTCATCCACTTCCGGGCAAAGCTTATATACTTGTCTCCTATCTTCTGTCTAAACTCTCCAGACATCAAACGAACAACTTCTTTATGATACTGTAAGAAGATTTTGTGTATATCAAAATGAAGAAGAAAATAACAATTATACAAATATCTAAACACTACAAATGCCAGGTCTGTGTAAATTGCCACTTTTCTAAAAACAAAAAGCAAAATCCAATTAAAATTTACACATTTTTCAAGAGCGTAAAGAGTTATAGATAATATAGTATCTTCCAGTGCAGCTTTACAATGTTTCATTCATAAGCTGAAGTTACAAATGTACTTTCATGACGATAAACATCTCTTCTCTTAGAAGGTTTTGATGGTAGAAAGCTATCGGCACAACCGAAGAGCTGGGCAACGCAGGGCAGTCTAGAAGGACGCCAGCATTCTCCACACTGGGCGGGGATGATGGTGTGCCTGGCGAGGCCTTGGTTACCATCGCCAGTGCAGCAAGACTCCTGATGCTTCCGCGAGTGCACTACAGCAACTGTGAAGCTGCGCTGCGTGTCCTCTCCCTCTCCGCACCTACCTCGAACCCAAAGTTGTAGCCCTGAATCATTGCTTCCCGGTAGTACTGCTGCAGCGTGACAGACTCCGGCTCCTCCACCTCCGCGTCAAATTCCGACGTGAACATGTGGCCCACTCGGTCAATGGCGTCGCTTATTCTGGTGCAAAGCTCCAGCGCGTCATTCTGAAGGGCCCCAAAACATAATTAATCCAAACAAAGCAGCCACCCAGTACCTAGTGTATTTTAGAGGAAGATTTCTTTCATCATCAGACATTAACTTAACCACTGCAATATACTTTAGCCATTTTTATTCCAGTTATTCAAAAATAAAGGAAATTTATTTATGTACTTATTTTTGTGTTCATTTATATTAGGTATTCTTTAACATCTTATGAAATACAAGAGGAAAAATAAATCCATTAAAATTAGTTTAACATTTATTTGTGAGAGAGAGAGAGACGGAGCATGAGTAGGGGAGGGTCAGAGAGAGAGGGAGACACAGAATCTGAAACAGGCTCCAGGTTCTGAGCTGTCAGCACAGAGCCTGATGCAGGGCTCGAACCCACGAGCTGTGAGATCATGACCTGAGCCGAAGTCAGAAGCTTAACTGTCTGAGCCACCCAGGTGCCCCCAAAATAAGTCCGCTTAAAACGATAATGTCCAGGGGCCCTGGGTGGCTCAGTCACTTAAGCGTCTGACTTGGTTTTGGCTCAGGTAGTGATCTCAAGGTGTGTGAGTTGGAGCCCCACATAGGGCTCTGCATTGATAGTGTAGAGCCTGCTTGGGATTTTCTCTCCCTCTCTGCCCCTCCCCTGCAATCCCTCACTCTAAAAATAAACTTAAAAAATATAATGCCTAATTACTATGTGGTCTCTGAGTAGATGCCTTCATCTTCAATATTCTGCACACTGACCAGCAGCTGCTTTTCCCCCACGGGCTGGTTGCTGAAGTCTAAGTGTGGTTTCAATCCAACACACGGACTCTATTTTTCTTCTCGTCTCCCTGCCACTACGTGCTAGAGGTCCAAGTGTTCTCAGCTGGGGCCGATTTTCCCTGCCTCGTGCCAAGGGGACACTGCAATGTCTACTTGGTTGTCAAAACCTGGGGAGACAGGGTGTGAAACCTATTGGCATCTAGTGTGTGGCACCAGAGATGCTACTAAACACCCTACAAAACGGGACAACTCCCCAAAACAAAGACTTACTGACTGAAAATGGGAATACTGCTGAGGCCAGAAAGCCCTGTGCCCACTCGGGCTTCGGCTGTGTCCGCAGGCAGGACTCCAGAGGCTCCGAGCTGGACCCCTTCCCTGACCCCGACACACACAGGCATGTACACATAGTCTCCATCGGAGCTCCCCCTACATACTGCTCCAAAATGCTCTTCCTAAATCTTCAACAACTCCCTGAGGAGTTAGAAAAAAAATAAAACCCAAAATCTCTTAACATCCTGATTTTTAACCACCTAATTTTACCAGCTTTATCTCCCATGACTCTCTACTGTGTCCCTCATGATGTAGCCAAGTCAGACTATTTGATATTAGGTGAGCGCTCCGCTTCCCCTGACCCAGGGGAATGTTCCTTCCCTGCTTGGATCTTATGAAATCCTACAAGCTGGAATGCCTCCGTGGTGGTAATTCCCAGATCTCCCTCCTCTTCAGTGTGGCAGTTGAGGTCCATAAGGCCATAAATCCCTGCAGCTCAGGAATAATCACTACCTTATACAATTTTACACTCTCCAGAGTTCACTGACTCAAACCAAAAGAAAAGACAAAGTCCCTTGCCCTGGTATTGGAGTGGGAAGGCAATCAATGAGAGAAAGTGTTTCCAGGTAAATAAGACAAATCAGATGGACAGAAGAAAAACAAATGCTTATCAAACTACTTATAATTTCAAGAAGTGCTTCTTCTTCAAGTCAAGCCTTGATGTGACTAAGAAGGCATAGCCGACAGCCTGTGGAACAGTCTGGATCAGACTACAACTGATGACTGGGGCACAAGGTAGAAGTGGTGAAAACAGGAAATATCGGGAAAAGAAGGTGAGGCTCTGCTTGCCCTAAACTTGAAAGCCTGCTGCCTGTCTACAACTGCTTTCTCTACTTGGTTTTTGGCTGAAGCATCTGTCAAAGAAAATAATAAAGAAATCTTCGTTTAGATGACACATTACTGACTGGGAGAACCTCCAGCAAATACCGGTAATTGCTAAAGAAGGAACCTGGATTAGAAATAAAGAGACCTAAATCCCAATATCAACTTGGCTACTAACCAACCGCATGCCACTAAGAAACCACACAGCCATTCAGATTTTTCTCCCTTTCAGTTCCAATGTCCTACAGCTCCAAGAAAGATCTGGGAAATTTTTAATTAGGAGGTGGGAAAACGTGTACTGTGAAGAGGAGGACTGGTGAGGGCGATGCCAGGCTTCAGACCCCCTGCGTGGTACTGCACTGCTGCGCCCGGACAGAAGTCAGGCACCTAAGGTAGGGGCGGCAGGTGAGGTGGGGGCAGTAACTAAAGTAGGGGAGGCAGGGACGGTCACCAAGGTAGAGGCGGCACTGAAATACCTTTAGCTGCTGCAAAGCCTTGGCGACAAGCGGCTGGCTGGATGTCTGCTCCTGGCGCAGCGCCATGAGCCCCTCGATGCACTGCTGGAAAGCTTTCCTCGGGACTGTGAGACGGGCGGACTGCATCGCAACCAGTAAAAGATTATCCACCTGGAGGAAAACCAAGTACAGGGCTTAAAAACAGACCCACTTAACGGGTCCCCATTCCAGGTCAACCCCTGGTCCAAACACAATGCCAACCTCAGAGAGCTACCGGGCCAGTAACCACCAAGTCAGAAAGCAGTTTCCAAGCAGAGCTACGCCCAGCAGCGGGCACCACGTCTAAGGTCTTCCACAAGATAGGGAAGGATCCCAGAGCTGTGTGGGCATGATGTCTCAGAACATCCTAGAACCACAAGTAACTCAATACTCCTGCAGCAGTGTGTGTGTGTCTGTGTGTGTGTGTGTGCATGCTCACGCGCCTGTGTGTTGCACCAGTCCGTGAAGCTGGAAAATGCAGGAATAAGAGAGAGTGATATGAGTGGCTTTCCACGAAACAGGCGAAATGGACAGTGAGTCACTGCAGTATTTTGCAGAGAGGTGTCATGTGGTCGTAGCTGCCTGTTATAAAGATCATTCTGGAAGGACCCAGCAAACACGCACTTGGAGAGAGGGAAGGTGTGGCTGGGAATGGGACCGTGCCGTGGTCCAGGATTACAGAGGCTGACTGTGGTGGGGCCCTGGACAGCAGAGAAAGTGTCACAACCCAGACTGCTTCGCGTGTGCTGGGGCTGGTGACTAACCGGAGGGGTGGAAGCACGAGTTTACTGTCACATTCTGGTTTGAACACATGAGTGGACAGAGTACCGTTCACGGAGAGAACACGAACGAGACAGCAGGTGGTGTGGAAGAGACCGCCAGCCGTGTGCTCAGCCGCGGCCGGCCCGACGCAGAACACACGGGGGGCTTCCTCCAGGTTTTAATTAATGAGTTACAGGAACCATCATGGGACCCCTGCTGGGCGGGGAGTACGTAAAAGCCTTCACTACAAAAATGGAAGCTCACAGCAAGTCTGCCGGAGCACAGAAGAGGCAGAATTTCTGAACTGCAGAGTGAACAGGTGAGAGGGCGCCTGTGACCTGAGTACACAGACCACGGCTGAACTCGGAAAAGACATAAATAAAACTCTGAAGGGAGAGTTTTGCATAAGGTGTGTTACAAAAGTAGGAAAACATCGAGGCATACTTGGGGGGACATCTACACTGGAGACGACTGTGGCAGTTAAAGCAAGCACTCGGGAGCTGCTAACAACTGATTTTCCCTAAAGGTACTGAAAGTCCAGAGCCCTGCTGCAAGGTGGGGGGCGGGGAGCAGTAGGGGCGGAGCCGGGAGTGACACACACCTGCATGCTTCTCAGGGTGTCAACGGTCTCCACCTGAGGCACGATCTTGATGGGCTGTGCCTCCCACGCGGCCCAGCTGTCGTCAGCACCCCGGGCGCGGTCACACTGCTTGGTTAGCAGCAGATACGCATCGATGAGAACATCATCGGACTCTCTGGAGCAGTCCTTTCCTGCGGCGGCATTGAGTAGCTGCAAAATAATGCTCTTCTCCTTAGCGAGAGTGTTTGGGACAAACACCTGCAAGTTTTCCAAGCCGGGAATCTGTACCTGCAAAAGAAATGACCCAAAATCTTAAATTAGGGAATGTCACCCATTACAGAAATGTAATTTAAGACACAAAACACAACCGGGAAAGGACCAGCATGTGCACGGAAGGCACGGAGGGCACCAGGGGCGTCCAGGGCCGCACAGGAGGCAGAGGAGGAGAGCACGGGAGCACTCTGCCTGAGAAGCCCGGGGAAGCCACAGGGCACCCTCCAACCACTGTACTCCCAGTAAGCACGAAAATACCCTTCAGGGGAGGAAGGCTGGCCTCAAACAACCCCGATCAGTGCTACTTTGCATTGCTTACAGAAGGTCACCTCACTTGATAAAAAGACAAAAAATGTTAATAGCGGATTCATTAACTATTCTTGGTGGGGACACCATAGAAAGCCTTTATTTTAAAGATTGTTTTAACAAGGAACATGTATGTGCCATTGTGCAAATCACACACAAATTCAGGTGGGATAAAATTGTGGGCCTGGAATAAAATTTCCAGTAACGAGACCGTACACAGAGTCTGTCAATGCTCAACGTCCAACCACTTAAATGTGAATAAATATGGTGACTCAAAAAGGGGGTCCAGTGATGAGTGGGACACTGATGGCAAGCATTCCAATAAAGAGTCTGAATTGTTTCAGGAAGTGTGAGGGTGAAACACAGAACAACTACTTAAAATCAATGATTATTTTGTTATTTTACATTATTATTCTACATATATTAAGTATATGCATAGCTAATTTTAATAGTACAAGTAAATATGTGATGACTTTTATTTGAATTCTTTTTTGTAAATTTTTTTAACATTTATTTTTAAAAACTTTTTAACGTTTATTTTTTAGAGAGAGAGACAGAGCACAAGCAGGGGAGGGACAGAGAGGCAGAGAGACATAGAATCTGAAGCAGGCTCCAGGCTCTGAGCTGTCTGCACAGAGCTCGACACAGAGCTCGAACCGTGAGATCATGACCTGAACCAAAGTCAGACACTCAACCGACTGAACTACCCAGGTGCCCTGACTTTATCTACATTCTTAAAGCAAGTCAATAAGTACGAAAAACTTTGTTTTTCTAATTATTTCATTGAGAAATTATGAGAAAATCTTTCTACTGGGATCAATACAGCCAGGAGAGCCTAAAATATTTATCATCTGGACCATTAAGATAAAGTCTGTCTGTTTTAGAGAAAAACAAGAAAGGTAAAATATTCCATTTACAGCATCTTATTTACCTTAACAAATTGTTTTGATCTCAGAACATCAAGAAGGTCTCTGACTGGGGCTGAAAGTACAAACTCTGCTGCTATTTCCAGGTCCTAGGATCACAGTTACAAAGAAAGTTCTTTAGGGTTCGCTTAAACAAACAAACAAAAAAAAAGGCAAAGGAAACCTTTTAAACAATCAGTCAGGAGTTAACTCACCTTTCTCAACATTTTGGCAAATCCCAGGGCCTTGGAGGCTCTTTCTCGGGCCTCGTGAAAGAGCTCCTTCAGCGCCCGACTAATCTCTATCACAGACCGCCTGCAAAGTCAGTGCAATCCAGTTAGAGCGAGGGAGTGTGTCAGGAAATAGCAACACAGACGAAGTCAAATCGCATTAACAAAGACTGAAAACTGGATAAATGGGAGCAAGCGATTATTGAGAATGTATCTGAAATACTCAGAAGCTCGCTCTCATGTTTTCTAGAGGGTACTTTTATTTTTTAAATAAGTAAGTCACGTACAATAACCTTCAAATACAGTAAGCTCAATTTTCTAAAGATTTCATTATAATAATTTCTTAAGAGTTTGAGATAAAATTCCTAAAAGTTGACCCCCAACTCAGAATCTTACTAAAAAGGAAAATACAGTGGTGGAATGGTAAATGTTTAACAACCGGCCCCCCCTCAAGTTCCTAGCTTGTATGGTGTCTTGTGATTTCTGTGGTGTAAATACTCCCCTCCTTGCTGACTGCAAGCTACCACTGCGACAGCACTGAGCAATGACTGGGGGAGAGGTGTGCACGATCGTACTTTAGCCCCCCGGAGCCAGCACAAGCCAGCGTGAGCCAGCTCCGGCACCCAAGCGCACATCCGCATGCAAGTGCACACCAGCACCCAAGTGCATACTCGCACACAAGTGCACACAGCACCTGAGCCAGCCCCAGCACCCAAGCGCACACCCGCACCCGAGCGCACACCAGCACCCGAGCGCACACTCACACACAAGTGCACACAGCACCTGAGCCAGCCCCAGCACCCGAGCGCACACCCGCGCACACCAGCACCCAAGCGCACACTCACACGTGAGTGCACACCAGCACCTGAGCCAGCCCCAGCACCTGAGCGCACACCAGCACCTGAGCCAGCCCCAGCACCCGAGAGCACACCCGCACGCGAGCCCACACCAGCACCTGAGCGCACACTCGCACACGAGCGCACACCAGCACCTGAACCAGCCCTGGCACCCGAGCGCATTTCTTAGATCCACCACTAATAAGAACCAGAGCAGCCTCTGCATCCTTCTCTAGTTCACCATCTTACATCTCCAACTCCCTGTTTATTATGAATCTACAATGTTACCTCCCAAACCCGCAGGACCTTTTACAAGCTGACTCCTGATTCTCAGCTATTAGTACTGTCCCAGGTAAGAACCTATGTAAACGCTTCTTTCTTTAACTCTGGCGTGATGACCTCCCAGGTGCTCTGAAACCCAAGATGTGCTTCTCATCAAATTGTGGATGGTGAGAGAAAACATTTCAGCTCTAGAGAAGTCAGTTCCCCTTGAGCATTTCCTAAGGTCGAATCATATGATATCACAGATAACTGGCCACAAATATATGGCTGACACACGTGCCACGAAAACCGCAATTTAACGTGGTCCAACCTGAATACTAACTCGTGGAATTGGAGGAAATGCAAACAGACGTGTAAGCCATGGTTTCATGTACTTGAGCTTCAAGTTCAAGAGAAAGAATAAGCTACGCATAAAAACAATGACCACGCACCAAACGTCTACTGAATGTATTAACAGACTGCTACAGGGTTTTAAAAGACAGAAAGAAACATAATTATTTGATTAGAGACATTCCAGAACACAGGGATGAATGCTCTCCACTCATTTTCAGTCACTTAAACTCTCTCTCCCTTTCTCAAAAGACACTATTTTCATTAGGCTACTAAATTCTAAATTCACCTTCAAAGAAAATGTCATAGAAAATTCTAACGAAGAGAGTACATGGAAAGATAAGACAATCATGACCAGAAGTCTTTAGATCTACTATGGAAATCCCCACAGTCCAACCATTTGGTTTGAACAAGGAGCATTCTAGACTCATCACCAAGAGCAGGAGTCTGTGGAATAAGGAAGTGGAGAGGGCAGGAGCGAGGCCAAGACCTTATTTCGTCTGAAGCGCTGCTGTCGTCGGCACTGGTCCAAAACTCGGCGCAGCTCTCCTGTAAGCCGAACTCTAGAAAACTTCCTGTCGACTTCAGTAGCATTCCTGCGATGTCACTAAGGGAACAAACGTACAAAAGTAAACCAGAGAAGAAAAACCGTCCTCGCTCTATGTCTTGACTGAGAAGCTGAGAGTTTCAGTCTGAGAATCAACAACGGTGAGAATTTTCTTTTACTATAAATAAAATCATGATTAATGTGAAAATGGGGAAATCTCAACTAGGGCATGTATCGATCTTTGTTCTTAAATTATATTCAGAGCAGCTAGGTAATTATTACACAAATGTAATTTTCAACTTAAAAGTCTAAAATAGTATAAAATGGCCTCAAACATATATCTATGCCCTTTTTTTTAAACAGGGGATGTTTTTTTGAAAAGCTTTATAAGCTAAATAATGACACAAGAAAACATAGTGAATTCCTTAAATGCAACTGTTTCTACAAATTTCCTCCACAGTTAGCTCTGCCTAGTCCATCAACACGAAATACTCTAGACAGCGGACGCTCCTCGCTGAGTACATATCTAGACACCAGGGTGAATCGTAAGCCCAAGTGTATACAACAATCCAAAATGAGTGAAGTAAGGATCCAACAGCAGCTTCCCCACCTCTACATTCAAAAAGAGGCGCTTCTGTCTAGAGGGACAGAGCAGGTGAGCGTACAAGCAGTGGCGGGCGCCGCGAAAGGGAAGTGCCAGGGGGCCTGTCAGGACACAGGGATGACACCCTGCTCAAGGCCTGGCTGTGCAGGGCCTGCACACAATGCAGGAGTGCAAAGGAGAGAGCAGGGGAAGAGGGGCTCTTGTCAGCAAGGGAACGGAGGAGGGGAAGGGAAGCCCAGGAAGAACAGTGAATGTGACTGGAAGACATGAAGAGGTGGTAAGCAAGAGGGCCAGTTGTGAAAAGAAATTGCACAATGCGAAAGGAGTGGTGGGGGTGGGGGTGGGGGTGGGGGGGCGGGAGACAAGACCAAGAAAGTGAGCTGGGCCAGGCTGCAAAAGGCCTTGCATGTCCTGCTAAGGGCCCGAACTTCAGTCACTGGGCCGAGAGGTCAGCCTTCAGCAGTAACTGAGTGGGAAAGTAACCTGATTACAGACCTGCTTTCAGAACAGTAGTGGAGTCAAACAGTAGTGGGGGAGGGGACCCACGAAGGGTTTGCCCAACAACTACTGAGTATCTATCTGTTATGTGCTAAGCAGTGAACAGAACCGATAAAACCACCCCAGTGAATACAGGAAAAAACAAGAAGTAAACTAAGAAAGGAAAATATGGAGTAGTTCAGATACCGTTAAGTGCTATGGAGAGAAATAAGAGGAAAGGAAACCAAGAAGTATTTGTGGGTAAGAATTTCCATTTTAAATATGGAAGAGGTGACATTTACACAAAGACCCAAAGGAAGCAGAAAATGGGTCATGAAAATAACGGGAGGGAGAGCAGTCCAAGTAGAGGAACCACCAACTGCAAAGGGCTGGAGGCAAGAGCGTGCCCAGTCTGGGAAAAATAAAGAGGCCACGGTGGCTGTCCAGTAAGGCCGGAGGCCTCGCAGGAGAAGGGGACAGTCAGTGAAGCCAGACCATGTCTGGCCTTACGGGCCATGTTCAGGAACTCTCACTTTTACTGAGGAAGAAGGGAAGCCACTGGAGTCTTTGGAACAGAGGAGAAAATGGTCTGACGTACATTTTAACAAGATCAGTCTGGCTGTGGGGTTGAGAATAAACCAAAGGGTGAAGAGCTGAAGCAGAGTCTCCTTGGAGAGTGCCAGCAATCATTCGAGCAAGAGGTGACAGCCTGGGAGGGGGGCACACAAGGAGGGTGTGCAGAGGTCCGACTGGATAAATCCCGCAGGGACTGCCGAAAGGCACAGAGGTCGTGTGGGAGGCAGAGAGAGGAGCCAGGGATCACTCCAAGACTGATGGAACCCAGGAGAATGGCCCAGAAAGGAGACCGCCCAGCACGTGGGGTGCAGCCCCTGCGCAGGGGCCTGAAACGGGTCGGGAACTGTTCAGAACAAGGCACAGGAAGGTGACATTCAGACACTGCCCCATACAGATGGTGAAGGACAAGCAACAGATAAAAACAAAAAAAAACGACAGGAGGAAATGAGGATGCGGCAAAATTACATGACATGGATTTGTAGTGCAAATGAACAGTAACCTTATAAAAAAATTTCTTCAACAAAGCTTGACAGCCTGGAAACAGAAAATGCAAACAAAGGAAATTACAGGTGAGGCAGAATTACCAGAATTTAAGAGAAGGCAAGATGCTGAAAAGGGCAGTGAAAGCACTTTTTAAGAAGGCGGACTGCCAGAACCTTCTTCCAGACAGGAAGGCAGGGCCTGAAGGGCAGGGGAGTTCAGAGAAAGACTGAGCTGCTCACTCTCAATCCAGGCAGAGGACAGTGAGGGCAGGAGAGGGATTCTGGGTCCTGCGCAGGGAACAGAGAGGGACCGAACAGGCAGAGCTGGAGGGGAAGCTGGGCTGAGCACACGAAGACTTCTACAAGGGGACAGAGGGAATGACATGGCTGATGAGGCAAGTGAGAGGAGGTGGCGCCCACCCCAGCAGCCAAGTGTAGAGCCCTAGAGCTGAGGGTCGGCAGCGAGGAGGGGATCCCTGGCAGAGATCGCCAAGGCGCACACAGCCTTGGACACTCGGCTCCCGGAGGAGGGACGTCCCTTTGTCCCTTTCCAGATCACTAGAGACCACACTCACCTCCTGTCCGTTCACATGTCTAACCTTGCCCTCGTCAGGAGAGGCCACGGTTAATGTCGCGCTCCCACTGCAGCGAGGAGAGACCCGCGCCTGAGGTACCCAGCACCCTGCCGAGGCTGGGACACCGAGGCCTCCACTGCGCCCCTCTTGTGAGGCCTCAGGGTGTCTCTGCTAAGGTAGGGCTCTCAGCCTCGCACCTGGCACTCTGGGAGGGGGAGTTTTGGTTTGGGGGCTGTCCTTGTGCTGTGGGATGTTCAGCAGTGTCACCAGCCTCGAATCAGGAACACCACCCAGTCATTACAATCAAAACTGTTTTCAGAAGGGGCCAAATGTCCCCACCAGGCAAGCCACCCCCTGCCGAGCAGCCCAGCTCCCAGGACAACAAAACTCAGGAGAGAGACGCACATGCACGTGTGACTGCTTGTCACCTTCACATAACCGAGCATGCACACGTGAAGCAGAGACGGGGGGGGGGGGGGGG